CACCACCCGAGACTCCGCCCCATCCAAGCGGAGCACAGAAGCCCTTCCAATGGCTAGCTTTCTCGTTCGTAGTGAATGGGACTCTCCTAGGGAGTAACAGACAGGAATCTAAAGCTTGTCTGCGCCTATACCAAAGAGGTGCGCATGCCTGCAACAAATTGTGCGGGATTCAACAAAGCTTGTCTGTGCCACCCCGAGACTCCGCCCCATTCAAGCGAAATACAGAAACCTCCTAGCTGAGACACTTTCGATCCTGATAGCCAATTGGCTTGGAGATCAACGCTTCCCAGTAATACCAACAACAAGCAAGGCTTAACAACAAGACTGCACACACAGCCCACAAAGGGCTACACCAAGAATGTCCACCTCAGGTAACTGGGAGGCTGACTCACTGAATCATATAGGACACCTTAGCACACCATCCTACCAACTCAGGGAAGCTGTGAAAATGCCAAGACAAGGAAATAGATCACAAACAAAAGAAATGGAGGAAAAGAAGAGACTGGATATAGAGTTCAGAACCACGCTTATAAGGTTTTTCAATAATTTCCTAGAAAAGGTCGATAAGACCTATGAGGATATGAAAAGGGATCAACTAGGAATAATAAGGGATTAACAAAAATAATAAGGGATCAACAAGAAATAAAGAATACATTGTCTGAAATAAAAAATATTACACACAGAGTCCTAAAAACAAAATGGAAGATCGCAAGAATCAAGTCAAAGATTTGGAACATAAAGAGCCAGAAGACACTCCTCCACAGAAGCAAGAAAACAAGAGAATCCAGAAAGTTGAAGATAATGTAAGAAACCTCTGGGACAACTTCAAGCGAGCCAATATCAGAATTATGGAGGTCCCAGAAGATGAGAGAGAGCAAGATATCAAAAACATACTGAAAGAAATAGTGACAGAAAACTTCCCCCACCTGGTGAAAGAATTAGACTTACAAGTCCAAGAAGCACACAGAACTCCAAACAAAAGGAATCCAAAGAAGACCACACCAAGACATATCATAATAAAATTCCAAGAGCAGCCGAGACTGGTTTGGCTTAATGGATAAGAGCGTCAGCTTGGGAACTGAAGGGACCTGGGTTCAATTCGGGTCAAGGGCATGTACCTTGGTTGCGGGCATATCCCCAGTAGGGGGTGTGCAAGAGGCAGCTGATCGATGACTCTCATCGATGTTTCTAGCTTTCTATCTTTCTCCCTTCCTCTCTGTACAAAATCAATATATTTAAATAATAATAATAAAATAAAAATAAAATTCCAAGAGCAAAAGACAGAGAGAGAATATTAAAAGCAGCAAGAGAAAAGCAGGTAGTTACCTATAAAGGAACACCCAAACGATTGTCAGCTGATTTCTCAACAGAAACCATGCAGGCCAGACGGGAATGGCAAGAAATATTCAAGGTAATGAACAGCAAAAACCTACAGCCAAAAATAATCTACCCAGCAAAGCTATCACTCAGAATCGAAGGTCAGATAAAGAGCTTCACTAATAAAAAAAAAAAAAAAGCTAAAGGAGTTCATCACCGCCAAATCAGAATTATATGAATTGCTGAAGGGAGTTCTTTAGGAAGAGAAAGTAAATAAAGATAAAAACGATGAACAACAAATACGTAACTATCAACAAGTGAATCTAAAAACCAAGGGAATTAAAAAAAAAAATCTGATGAACAATATTAACTGGTGAATATAATAGAATCAGAGGTATGGAAGGGGAGTGAACTGACGATTCTCAGGGGAAAGGGGAAAGGAGGGATGTGGAAAGAGACTGAACATAAACTATGCTATGGATGAGTACAATGGGGGGTGGGGAAAGGGCAGAGGGTGGGGAAGGGGCATAGGGTGGGGTGGGAACCTGGTGGAGGGGAGCAATGGGGGGGGGGGGGAATGAGGAACATTTGTAATAATATGAACAATAAAGATTTATTAAAAAAATAATAATAAAATAAAATAGGAAAAAAAGAGAAAAAAATATGCTTTCCCAAAATAAAAACAGCAAGTTCACTGGCTTCCTTATTAAAATAGAACTTAATTTCTCAATGTAAATGATATTTACATGAACAAATCAATTAGCACTACTACAAACATCTTTACTGTACCCTACATCACAAAATAGCCAACTTCCTTAATGGAAAGGTTAGCCCATAAAGGCTTACTTTACTTTCTTATAAAGCAACATTTCCCAAACCACATTACTTGAGAAACAGGTTATTCATCTGTAGGAAAAGGGTTCTACAGTAAAATAACTTTTTGGAAAACCGCATGCTATCTTCCCTTTGAGATTCACAACACACATCAGTATATTACAAGCTCTAGAAATACAAAAGACCATGCTATAAAAAATAACCTACTTAACTGTATGTCCCAAATGTACTTACAAACAAACAAATAAGTAAATAATGATGTATTGTGTAATTCTTAAATTAAGGCCATCTGTTTTTTAAATACATAAAATCAAAATTAAATTTGCAAATTATTTCCTGGTTTATATCAAACCACATTGATTAATTCCACATATCAACTGATTTATCTAGAGGTCCTGGTATCTACCCTAAATGATCCCAGCTTTTCATGAACTTTTCTATCCTCTTATAAACCTAAAAATTTCTTAAGTATTTTGTCACAACTCCCATTGGATGAAACCAGCCAAAGGCTACAGTGGGCACTGGGCAAACAAGGCTATTAATATGTATGTCTTTTGCTTTTAAACATTTACAGCAAGAAGTGTTTCTTCCTTTTAAATTCTGTCATGTATTCATACCTCTCTCAAGATACATATAATCCGCCGCAGCTGGTTTGGCTCAGTGGATAGTGCATCAGCCTGTGGACTAAAGGTCCCAGGTTAGATTCCAGCCATGGGCACATGCTGGAAGTGTGGGCTCAATCCCCCCAGTAGGAGGCGTGCAGGAGGAACCAATCAATGATTCTCTCTCATCATTAATGTTTCTATCTCTCTATCCCTCTCCCTTCCTCTCTAAAATCAATAGAAATATATATATATATATTTTTTTATTTTATTTTATTGATTTTGTACAGAGAAGAAGGGAGAGTTAGAAACATCGATGAGAGAGAGAGTCATCGATCAGCTGCCTCTTGCACACCCCCTGCTGGGGATATGCCCGCAACCAAGGTACACGCCCTTGAGAGGAATCGAACCCAGGACCCTTCAGTCCCCAAGCCGACGCGCTATCCATTGAGCCACACCGGTCTCGGCAGAATTATATATATATATTTAAAGATACATATAATAGAGGCCCAGAGCACAAAATTCATGGACTCAGCAGGGAGCGGGCCTAAGCCATCAGTCAGACATCCTTAGTGCTGCCATAGAAGAGATCCCACCACCGCCACTGCGCTCGCCAGCTGTGAGCCTGGCTCAGGGCTTCTGGCTGAGTGGTGTTCCCCTGTGGGAGCACACTGACCACCCTGGGGCAGCTTCTGCAGTGAGCGTCTGTCCCATGGTGGGAAGTGCACGTCACAGTGACTAGTCTTTCTGCTGTTTGGCCAATTTGCATATTGGCTTTTTATTATATAGGATATTAGAGGCCCAGTGCACAGATTCGTGCACTGGTGGGGTGCCTCAGCCTAGGCTGCATCCTCTCCCAATCCGGGACCCCTTGGAGGATGTCAGAGGCCTGGTACACAGATTCAGCCCGATCCTCACAGGCCAGGATGAAGAATCCGTGCCCTGGGCCTCTAGTATGCATATAAGATCATTGGTTAATCTGGCCCACCCTCCCTACTACCCCCTTCCATCTGAGATTCATCAGTCTGTTCCCTGTTTCCATGCCTGTATGTTGAGTGTCTACCCCCTGGTGGTCAGTGAGCATCATAGCTACCATTCAAAAAGTTGAACGGTCACTTAGGCTTTCATATATATAGATGTATTATGAGGGAAGGCTCTCTGACCTAATCTTCATTGTATCCCTCACAGCAATAAGCACAGACCTGATAACATCACATCAATTTGAAACACTTCTAATAAAGAAAAGAAAAAACCATTATTTTTAATAAAAAGTTTCCCTTAAAAAAAAGTTTCCTTTATTTCTCCCCCCCACCATTCTAAAATGTAAAGAAAGAGGAATTAGATAAGTATGAATTTGTATAGGGTGTCATTTCAAGTTTTACCTTTGATTCAAATAGGAAAAGGATCCACTTACTGCCCATCTCCTTAGGATGTTGGAGATGTGTTGGAGCCTTGTGCCACATCTACCAGGATCAGGTGAGTGATGTCCCAGCAGGAGACAACTAAGTGCAAATACTCTTTCTCTTTACCCCACTAGTGAGTTTATTTCACTTATAGATCACTATTGGCTATCTTGGTATTTAAAAGAAGGCATGGGGGGCGGAGGGGAAGAAGGTATCAAAAAAAGAGTTGTGCTTTTATTTTCATGTCCACAAAAGAGTAGGAAGACAGGATTATGAAAAATAGTGCAAGATTAAATTCCTTTTTAAAAAAGTAACCAAGTAGCTGAAACTGGTTTGGCTCAGTGGATAGAGCGACAGCCTGCGGACTGAGGGGTCCCAGGTTCAATTCCAGTCAAGAGCGTGTACCTTGGTTGAGAGCACATCCCCGGGGGGGGGGGGGGGGGGGGGGGTGCAGGAGGCAGCTGGTCAATGATTTCTCTCTCGTCGATGTTTCTAACTCTCTATCCCTCACTCTTCCTCTCTGTAAAGAAAACCAGGGGGAAAGAAAAAAAAAAGTAACCAAGAACCTAAAAGAGCCACAAAGTTGACAAATGCGTAGTGACTCTCTGATTTTCATTCTGTGTGTCCAACACCCATTATGATCTCATTTTCAGGCAACTACTTTTAGGGCTTAAATACTGACTCTTTTTAAAATAGTATGAACATGTTAAAATATAAAATGAAAATCTCAATTTCTGATTCTTTGAGAATATCTAGTTAAGATAACATCAATCATAAATCCACAGTATATATTGCATACAAAAAATTTCACCCACCATACCAGAAATTTGTAAATATACTCTACCTTTTTTCTTTTTCATTGGTTCGTGGCTATCTGGTGATGTAGGAATAGGAGAGGTATCCATTGGTTCAGATTCTTCAGTTGACACCTCCACTACAGTTTCTGTAATGACATCTGGCCTCATAGCAGCATGGATAAATTCTGGAGTTGATACACAAGGAGGGACAAACACTTCCACTATAAAAAAAAAAAGTTGAAAAATTAAAATTTCCTACCCCATTAATGCTTCTTACTGTGGACAATTCAATACTTAGTAGAGGTGATGTTTAATAATTTAACAAAGCGGGGTAAGAACTTGAAGTTAACTTGCTGAATATGCAATATGATCTAAAGTATGTGAGAAAATAAGATGCAAGAAAAATCAACTTAAAGAAAATGTTAGCCAAAACCGGTTTGGCTCAGTGGACAGAGCATCGGTCTGTGGACTAAAAGATCCCAGGTTCGATTCCGGTCAAGGGCATGTACCTTGGTTGCGGGCACATCCCCAGTAGGGGGTGTGCAGGAGGCAGCTGGTCGATGATTCTCTCTCATTGATGTTTCCAGCTCTCTATCCCTCTCCCTTCCTCTCTGTGAAAAATCAATAAAATATGTTTAAAAAAGAAAAAAAAGAAAATGTTAATCCTCTGGGTAAGAAGGGGAATAGTCACCTTCCAGTCTTCACATTTTTATATACAGAGTGGGGCAAAAGTTAGTTTACAGTTGATCATATGGAAAATAATACAATAAGTAATAAATAATACAGGAATAAGCCCTATTTCACATACTCACAACTGTAAACCTTCTTTCTCCCCACCCTGCATTTTTAAGCTCATTATAGACAACTGCATTGTTTTGACAATTGGGAAAATATTTGGAAATAAAATAATGAGTTCTTTAATACTTTCTGTCCATGTACCCATCATTATTTTCTAACTAGCTAATTCATGCACAAAGTATAAAATTTAAGACATTTAATAAATGTGATTTCAGTGACAAGCACTTATAATTCATTTTAAATATGAAAAAAATGGAAAATATGCTCATTACAGCCCAATGAATATCTTTGCATATTTAAAACTTTATTTAATGAAATAGCCCTAAGTTTTGGGTCACTAAAACAGTAAAGACTGCTATTTGGCACTTTATTACAAACAATAATGTTGTCCTGGCTTTCTTCCAATGTGCATAAATAATTAGGATGACATTTCTATTTCAATAAAGAGATAATACCTACTCTCATGGATTAACACACTGATCAATATGTCCTAATTTTCTTCTCATACTTGTGAATACATAGGATTCCTATTTTACTTTAAAAGTCTGGTTACTCTTAGTATTTATTGTAAAGTCCTATAAGAATAGGTCCAGCCCAGATGTGTGGCTCAGAGGTTTAGTACTGACCTATGAACCAAGAGGTCCCAGTTTAATTCCCAGTCAGGGCACATGCCCATCAATGATTCTCTCTAATGATAGATGTTTCTATCTCTCCTTCCCTCTCTCCTTCCATTCCTTTCCTCTCTCCAAAATAAATAAAAACATATTTAAAAAAAAAAAAAAAGGAAGAAGAGCCAAACTTACTATATCAAGTAAAATTAACATTGGAATATTAAAATTAGGGTAAATGAGAATTAGGACAACATAACTCTCAAAGGCAGCCTTAAAGGAAAAAAGGGACCAAAAGAAAAGAAAAACTTGCAGCCTGAAGGGAGTGTAAGGAAATGGCTTCCTCCTTGCTCCAGAATAGATTGTTCCCTGGAGTCACTTTATCACAGAAGAATTAAAGGTGGTCATAGGAGGCAACCACACCTCCTCCCCAACTGCCATTCACTTAAGGACTATTGTACAAAGGTTTATAAATTGACCAGAGTTAAGGAAGTAAGGCATGATGGTCTAAATAGCAACTTAATAAACTTCTGTCTATCTATACTGGGCATTCATTTATTATGAAAATTAAGTATTCAAGACTTGGGTACTTTGACAAATAAAGATCAAATACTGCTGTCACAGGTATTCATATAAAACAGATCTTGAGAACACCAACAATGCCCCTGTATCTTAAAAACCATTCATTCTAGATGCATGAAATGATGTGACAGGTTTAATATAAATAGGGTAGTTCACATACCAGGACTTCTTGAATCCCTCAAGCAGGTAGGAGATTCCATATGAAGCAGGGCTTCAGCAGCTTCAATCGTCTTATCTGTGCAGTGTGCATTACTGCTATGAACTGATGCTTCCACTGGGGGGGAAATAAGTTCTACTTAATTAAAAATGCACTGAACACATTACTAAATTAAAACACACTGCTGTAGAAGTCATAAATACAAATTAACTCTTATGGCCATAACGCTAAATCACTGATACATATTAGTTTATGTAAATTATTTATAGAAATACTTTAAACACCAAAACAATCTAGTATCCTCACTTTGTAAAATGAATGTTAACTATAAAGCAACTATTGAGATTGGCTAGCAATTACTGAGAAATTTCTGAATCTTATACTAAGGAAAAAGAAGAAGAAAAAACTAAAAAATTTAAACCTGTATCAATTTTAGGCCAAACTAACTTATGGAGAATAAGAATGATTATGAATTAACAATCCTAAAGGCAATTATATATTTTTATATACTGTTACTAAAATCAGGGATCATGCATGTCAAAATTAGTCAGAAACACATATTTCTAAGTTACTTTAATTAATTAGTTAAATTCCCACTGACCCTCTTGGGTTAGCTGCGGCGCCCAAGCATGTGGGAATTTCCTTCACAATAACCTTGCTCTCTCTCCTTCAGGACTTTGCTAGGTGTTGCCCAAGAAATTTTTTAAAAAGAGTTTTTATGGTGGTTTTTTTTCATGAATCGTTTCCTAATTTTACTACCTTCTGTAACTCTCTCCTTGAACTTAGTTTATTGCTTTGCTGATTGAATTATTTGTGAAGCAGTAAAGTGTACAGCACAGGTTTGGACTTTTAGGTCTAAGAGCTTGGGTTCTATCTTCTGACACTTATACCAATAATTTCTGTTAGTAGGCCAGCAATTTAATTCTTTATAAGTCTGGGTTTCCTAATACAAAACAGTAGTATTCCTTACCTCACATAGTTGTAAGAATAAAGTGAGGTGACTCTAATAAAAAACATATACATAGATAAGAATTCAATAAACTCTTTGAGATCAGAGTGGCTATATTAATTCATCTTCATATCTGTTCTAGTTCCTAACAGAGACTTTTCATATAGTGGGTAGGCAAGTATGTCTTTTATGTATTGAAATTTAAGAACCCAATGACCCTACAGGAAAATAGGCAATTCAAGAACTTATTATCTTAACAAAATATTAATTTCACATCCTGACTTAAAACATTGACTGTTTTACTTGGTGAAAGGTCCTAAGAGTTTCTAATCTTCTAAAGGAACTAAAAGAAAGTATTTATACAAATTCCGTAAAACCGTATTAGAAATCCATAAGTTCTATACACTAAAAATATGAATCTTTTAAAACTGTTTCCAGAAAACTTTTAAATGAAAAAAAAATTCACTTAGTCTCAAAATTCCCCAAATGCTCAGCCTTAAACACCAGTCATTTGGAGAGCATTTATTAAAAAAATCCACTGACTGTTTTTACCACCTGTTGCACATCATCCACACTCTCAACCAAGGTACTGGGTCTCTCCAGTTGCTCTGTCCATTTATGGAAATCTGCTCAAAGCTGACCGGTTCCAGAGAGGCAGCCAAACCTCTAAGTAAATCTATCTTTAGGTGACCCTGCTTACTCTTATCTGCAGCTTCACTGAAGCAAAGGATTCAATCAGTCCTTCCAGCTCAACTCTAAGAAACTAAGTATTAGTAAGTATAAATATGCAAGTCTGAAGTATATTTTTCAAAGTACCTCCCTATAATACTCACATACACTAAAGAATTGTTAAGCAAATTCTCAAGTTTTAAAAATTTATACCAGAAACTTCATTCTCTTCAAGGTCTGCTTGTGTTGCAACTTAGCTGTTGTCTTAGCTGCTATTAATAAACCATCCAGGGTAAACTAATTCCTTATGTAATTGTATTAAGACATACCCTAAAAACTACCGTATTAAAATCAGAGCTTCAAGTATTTGATAATAATACAGCAATAGAATTTTATCAGATTTTCAAGCTATAAAACAAACAAAATATGTCTAGCAATTATACATTATGTTGCCAAGTTAAGTAGTTTGAGGTACATTTTCAAGACCATGATTTCATATTATATCAGTGGAAATTATTTTCTTGCCTATATTTCTGACCTCAACATATTTTCCCAGAAAATTTATATTTACAGATTAAAACAAATAAAATACATACAAATTTAAGAAGAAAACTTATTTATTCGTACTTTAAATTTAAGATGAGAATATACATAAATTTTCTAGTGAAATATCAATCAGAAGATCTAATATTCTTATATACAATCAACAAATGGTTGCTGAGCATTTCTCACAGTGTACCAGTCCCTCTGCCATAAAACTGATATAAATATAACTAGATCACTGGCCTCGTGTAGCTAGAGAATGACAAAACATAAATGGAAGGAAAATATTTCAAAGCTAAATGAAAGTGCAAAATTAATTTAAAGTTACTCTGTAAACTAAGTTGGTTTAAAAGGAGTGTTGATATCCTTTTTTTATGCTTATTTTATTTTTTGTCATTTTTACTTACTAAAATAACCCTAAGTACCTATTTAAAAAATGAACACCTAAGAACTCACACTTAGATCAATTTACAGCAATGTACCCATGATAGTTTCCAAGAATATTTCACCCATTTTGTAAAAAGTGACACATTATCTTTTCCCTTTTCTTTCTTTTTTTTTTAATTTCTTTATTAAGGTATCACATATTTGTCCTTAACCCCCTTCTCTTTTCTTTCATTGACGTTAAGTCAACAGGTCATTTTTGTAACAAACTTAAAAGATATGCCAGAACCGGTTTGGCTCAGTGGATAGAGCGTCGGCCTGCGGACTGAAAGGTCCCGGGTTCGATTCGGGGCAAGGGCATGTACCTTGGTTGCGGGCACATCCCCAGTAGGGGGTGTGCAAGAGGCAGCTGATCGATGATTCTCTTTCATCAATGTTTCTAACTCTCTATCCATCTCTCTTCCACTAGGTGAAAAATCAATAAAATATATTTTTTTTAAAAAAACTTAAAAAATATTTCTCCTCTTCAAGTTTCTGTAATTTTAAAAAAATATATATTTTATTGATTTTTTACAGAGAGGAAGAGAGAGGGATAGAGAGTTAGAATCATCGATGAGAGAGAATCATGGACCAGTTGCCTCTTGCACACCCCCTACTGGGGATATGCCCGCAACCAAGGTACATGCCTTGATGGGAATCGAACCCGGGACTTTCTGTCCGCAGGCCGATGCTCTATCCACTGAGCCATACTGGTTTTGGCAAGTTTCTGTAATTTTCTAAAAAAATTTTAATACTAGATGTTCTGCTCAATAATTCAAACACAATTTAAACTAAAAGTTTTACACAACTCTTAAGGATAAACATAAATTTAACAATTTTGTGTATAAGCAAACTATAAGCAATGGCTGAAAATTCCTTTTTCCTCACAAAAAACCTGACTTGCTGGAGTCTTTCTAAACCTATGTATAAAAACTGTGGGAGAAAATAATAAGCAACTCATTTTAAAAATAGAAACAATGAAGCTAAAAGTAATCTAAGAGATATTTTCTAGTTAACACTAGTAGTTGGTGTTGCTGGTAAATAGTCCTTGAAGAAATAAATCTACCAAATAAATTTCAAAACTATTTTAATTTTAATCATCATGCCATTAAATGTGCTTATGCCTTCTTTTACCATTGGTAAGAGGTCTTCTTGTTCCGTTTCTAGCTTTCTAATCAACTGGTGTTTGTATGGTAGATTATTCCAGACTCACTCAACAGCTGTTACTAAATACCAAACTTGGTAATTAAGTCTGACAAGAGACATACCTCTCAGCTTTGCAGAAGAGAATGCTGGCAATGGACCTAGTTCATAACAATGTTCTTTAAAGTAAAAAATGTAACTTAATAGCAATTTAACTTGAGAGCAATGGGAAAAAATCAGAAAACACTTCATTAGGTGATAGTGGTATCCCACTACAAGCAAGACCATAAACTAACATTACCAAGGTCATCACTCAACTATCTGACCTACCACACCTTATCCCCTAATGCCCCAAGGCTATGTATGATTGAATGCTATGAAAGGAGGGAAAAGATAAAGACCTGGGACACTCTTATCTTTACCTGATCCCCTTTAACTTTCTCATCAATAGTTGTTATAAGGTTGAAAGGGAAAGAAAACAAAATTGTTTTTCTAAAGTAGAGCTGTCTGATAAAAACATCACCTGAGCCTGGCTGGCTTGGCTCAGTGGTTGAATGTGGACCTATGAGCCAGGAGATTGCGGTTTGATTCCCTGTCAGGACACATACCCCAATTTCTAGCTCAATCCCCAATGTGAGGCATGCAGGAGGCAGCTGATCAATGATTCTCATCATTGATATTTCTCTCTCTCCCTTACCCTTCCTTTCTGAAATCAATAAAAAAATATATATATAAAACATGAGCTACATATAATTTTCAAATTTCCAGTACCCACATTAAAAGCAAGTGAAATTAATACCTTTCATTTAACCCGGTATATCCAAGATAATGTCATTTCAACATGTAATTGACAAAGTTTTTCACTGCTTCAGTTTTTACATTTAAATTAATTTTTTAAAAATTTAAATTCAGTTTCTAACTCACATTTATGTACTCAATAACCTCATGTGGCTAGTGGCCACAGTACTGAAAAGTGTTTACTAAATAAAACTATATATTTCAGCTTCTCAAACTTTTTTTGTAAAAGGGCCCCTTTATATCCAATTTAAGGACTGCCAAGATTATGTATGTAGTTCTACGTGTATTTATATTATTTGATATTAAATCTTCAAAACTTCAAAATATTTATTAACTCAAAATAACATTTCCTCTTTTTTTAAAATATAGTTTTATTGATTTTAGAAAGGAAGGGAGAGATAAAAACATCAATGATGAGAATCATCACTAGGGATGGAACCTGCAACCCGGGCATGTGCTCTGACCAGGAATCGAACTTCAACCTCCTGGCTCATAGGTCCACACTCAGCCACTGAGCCAAAATAACCGTTCTAAAACAAAAAAATTTAGTGAGTATGAGTAGCTTTGTTTTACGCTTTTACAAATCTTTTTA